ATGCAGTAGCAGCATGATTCTTCTGAGTGGCAACACTGACTCCTACCATGGTTAATGAAGTGAAGTCTACTAAATGACTTCATCATTTAATGAACTAATAGCTTACTTAACAAACTAAACCGAAGTCCCAATGGTATTTCATGGAACTCATAACTCAGTGCTCTGAACGAGCCAACATCATTTGCATGAGTGAAAGCTGCCTCCAACCTCAGGTGTCTACAACATGATGAGAAGTATGGGAAAAAAAGCAAAATCGGAGCTGAAGAGGGAGACGTGCTGCTGACAGGATTTGTGTTTTCTGTAGCATGGTCTGCCTCTATCCAGATGGCGGTAAAAGAGAAACGTGAAGGGGAAGTGCACGTGCACAGAGCTCTAGCAGAGCAGGATGGCTGCTTCTAGTTATGTGACAGGAACCTCGCAGCAGAAATGCTGTCATTAAGATGTTAATCTAAATGTTCCATCAAACTGCTCAGAGATAAGATTCACATCTGATAAAAGTGCATAACTGTTTTTTTTCCTGTGAGTATTTCACAGTAGGAGCAGTGATGTTTATGTATTGTATGATTAAGCACTGCGACCTTGGGAAATGATGAAGTTTGGTTTTGTTCTTTTAAGCTCCAGACATTCAAGTTCTACTTCTTTGATGCTATTTCGTCTTCATGGGAGGCAAAGTCAAAGGCGGAGATCAAGCTCTGGATTTTAGAAACAGCAGTTGACTGCTTCTTAGAAAAGGCAGTTTGTTCAGTGGTTGGCTTCTCCTGCTGACACTTGCCTACCTGCACTCACTGCAGTGGCAGATAGACTGAAAATGCAGTCTGAGCACACAGGAGAATTAAGATCGTATTTAAGAAAATAACAAGCATTTTAGCATGGCTTCTGTGCCTTAAGAAAAGTCTCCAAAGAGTGAAAATGGAGAAATGCCACTGCTCTGTTCTGATCTCACAGGCTGTTTGCACAGAAAAAATGGCCCTTCCAGACTCCGTCATGCTGGAACCTGCCCACCTGGGATCAGTTCTCCCTTTGCATTTAGACAATGCCATTTCAGCCAGAGCATTATGATTCAGCTATTTGCTACCTGTGCAAAAGCTAGGATGAGCAAGTTAATCCATCTGTGTGATGCAAATAGCAATGAAATTGGTCTGGTTTGCCTAGAACAGGAGTGGGAGGCTGTGTGTACTGTTTAGCATAGATATGAGGTGGCGTGCCGGAAAGATTTTCTGCAGTATTGAGATTCTTAAAGAAAGACAGAGAAGGAGACAGGATAACCTACTTCTGGGTTTCTTTTGTGTATGTATGCGTGTGTTTTCTTCCCCAAACCTGAGCTGCTGGCTTGAAATTGATTTATTTACCTATTTATCTATTTTTAAGCCCATGCAGTAACTCCCAACAGACTGAGGGATGAGTCATGCACACAGCTCTCAGTGCAGCATGCATTTCCTCTGCTGGCTCCAGCTGCACAGGCAGACTGGAGCCCAGGAAAGGAGGAGCAGAGAAGACCACCATCACTTAAACAGGGGTCACTTCCAGGAGCTCATCAATGGGTATCAGCTGAGTTTCACACTCAGATAAAGGACAGGAGCAAGGTAGTTGAACCGAGGAGTCAATGTTATCAGCTCAAGCCCTTCTTCCACCCATTAATATCCACTTTACACAAATCCTGATGAGTAGAGAGCAGAGTATGCCTGCCTTACATGACTCCAGGGATACAGGCAGAGCAATTCCTTGCACAAATTTTAGTATGACTCATTAAATAGGGTGAAAAGGACGAGAAAAAGAAGTCGAATTTTGTGGTGATTTAATGTGTTTTGTACCATATTAGTATTTATCCATCTAGCATCTGTCATCATCACATTGATTTTGCACAGAGAAGCTTACACTAAAAATTCTGTGAATAAATCTTCTTTAGGAAAAAAAGAGACACCCAGTCTTCCTGTGAAGGACTGCTACCTTGTGTACAGCTCTCAAGCTGACCAACACAGTATCTGATCTGCAGCAAACATCCACATTATCTGTAAATGCGTTATATGTATGTCTCCACACTGAAGTTGTTTAATTAAAAATAGCAAGTACGATGCTAGTAAATGTGTGGGAAAAGTCTTGGTGAAGCACAGAGGGGGGCCTCATGACCTGGGCTGGCGAATCCTCCTTGCTGTTTATACAAGAGGTGACCATTCCTGAGCATTGCAAGGCCAACCAGTTGAATATCAAATGCGAGTAAAGCATTGACTTGTAAAGGAAACTCCAGCTGAACCACTGAATTCCCAAACTGTGTGTGTATTTTAAATATCTCACCTCTTCACAGAAAAATGCCATCGCTGTATTCTGCTACCGCTTTTGTAAGGGACTCTGGTGTTCAGGAACTTGAGCTAGTGGGATAGCTTTTGCGATATGCAATGAAGTGCAATATTTGAATCTGGCACATGACTTCCTGAGACATTCTTCTGCGCTGAAACTTTCCTCTGGCACCTGTCCTTACTTGGGTATTCACAGGCTTATTTATTTTTCACAAAAAATCAGACTGATCAAATCCTTAGGTCAGTTAATGGCACTAGTAAAATCAAGAAGTCCTTTTTGGCTCTACGAAATCTGCGTAGCACTGAAAAGTGAGTTGTTATTTGAACTGTGACAGTTCAGTCTTAAAGTATGCTCTTCACTGGTTCCTGTTTGAAATGAATAAGCAGAAGCTTACAGGCTTTTTCCATGGAAGTTTGCCATTTCAGGATGTACTCTATGGAATTTTTGTCTTATACAATGTGTTATAATGCATTAGACTTCTTTTTTTTCCTAATGAAAGCACAAAGGCATTTACAGTTCAGGTAGTATTTATGCCATTCCATAGAGTCTGTATTTCAAAAAATATAAACAACCTCTGTAGTCACAAATCCAGAACCTCCTATTTGAAATGATCAAATGCTTACTGTTTGTAATGTTAAGTATTTTAGCCAGGGTTGAATTTATGAACAGTCTCATTTGTATCTTCTTAACTCCATGTAAATCTATGTGCATATATTAGTTGAAGGCACATTTGGAGATTTATTTGCATGAAAACTGCTGATGAAGACATGTCAAAATAAGAAAGTTATTTAAAGACAGCTATAGTAGGATATCTCCCTCTCCAGGATGTTTGTTAGCTCTGACAATTGTTAGTTAATTTTGTCTGGCTGTTTTCATGAATCTTTGAGTTCCAACAAAAGCTAATAAAACCAGCTATGAAAGCTTTAAATATAACTACATTTCAGTGAATATTAATCAGAGGAAGACTATATGCGTAATGCCATTACAGAGCCATACACATTTGTTGCTTTGTGTTGTGCACACTGTAAAATGTGATGATCTTCAGCCATGCTGACTGACATCTTCCCTGAAAAGTGTTTTTGGGAAGAAAAGTTAATTCCTCTGACCCTTCTATCTCCAAGCCTGGTCTACAGTTAAAACCTGACCACATTTGTAGCCCTAAGGCTATAGTAAGGATGTACAGTAAGGTACATCAGCAAGAATGCTAGGGGAGTTGCCACCAAACCTAGAAGACCCAAGATGCTGCCTCGTGGCTGCTGTGTCCAGCCAGGAGCAGACCCAGGCCCAGGTGATCACTCCATCCCAGTCGCAGGGGTGCTGCTGCTGCTCTTTGTGCTGGCAGGCCTGGCCTGTAGGAAGGCAGACACATACAGGTCCCAGGTGCAGCTGTCCACACAGACTGCTACGCATGCAGAGCACTGTAGGCAGCAGCTCATGGTTTGCTTAATATCCGTGACTGAACCCTGGGTTCAGTAACCTAAACCACTGTCTCACAGCAAAAGTCTTTCCAGATGTGGTTTTCCTCCTACTCACCAGCTAGTTCAGATTGAAGTTTTCTAACAGATTACTCGTACACACGAACAGAATTAAATTCACTGGGGAAATAAAAACATAGGTTTATCCAGTTGCTTGCACTTAGACTTACCCACAAGTGCCCCAAGATCTCCAGTTCCTGCCAACCTCAACCTAAGGCTGTGATGCCCATGGCATCTCCTCAGGTTGCTTGAACCTCTCGACACACAGTCCAAGTCCCTCTAGTTGCTGGCACACAGACCTCCTGCATTCCCAGCCCTTTACATGATAACATCTAGACCCAGGTGCCGTAAGATCTCTGTGCTTGACTCTTCTGTATGTCGGTCTCTGCAGTTGCTAGCACCATTTTTCTACGCTTGTTTCCCCTCTGATCCATCATGATCAGATGGACCCTTTTTCCTATGGACCCTTTAGCCCTTCTCCTACATGTCCCATAGTAAGTTTTGCATTAACCCACAATTTCCTTCTGATAGCCGATATCCCAAATAGCCTCAAATATCCCATAATTTTTGTGTTGATTGTGTTTCCCTTTCTTATCAACTGCAATTTGTAGTTCAGGTTGACATTCTTCAAAGATATGCCTTAGCAGTTCCTTCATCACCAGCAATCATCAATGGGTCCCCGTTACCATCTCTGTCATGCTTGTGTGTCTGTATGGTTAATTTAGCACTTTCCTCATTACTTGTTATTTATTTTATATTTACTGGATCGAACACTGGAACAGGCTGCCCAGGGAGGTGGTGGAGTCTCCTTCTCTGGAGATGTTCAAGACCTGCCTGGATGCCTACCTGTGCGACCTGCTGTAGGGAACCTGCTTTGGCAGGGGGGTTGGACTCGATGATCTCTGGAGGTCCCTTCCAACCCCTACAATTCTGTGATTCTGTGAACACAAATGACTTAATGAAACAGATGTCCACACACTCTTACTCTACTGACAACTGCTGCAGAATGGTTGGATTCCTCTGAATTAGAGTCCAGTTCTCTTTTATGATGGGCAGCTCCATGTTAAAATGGCAAACCTAGACTTTTCTGTCTTGAATGAATGTCAGGATGCAGTTTTGCACATTTTTTTCATGTTCAGGTAGACTTAAAACACAGGGAAAGTCTGTCAAACAACACATTTCTATCTTTCTCCATTGCACAGCAATACACAACATTGCCAGAAACTTCACTGATGTTAGTACAGTAATTTATTATAAGCCATATTTTCAGAGGGGATGTATTATTTTCTGGACTTTACAAACCTTTATCATGACAGCTGACATAAAAGTATCAGAAAGAATGATGGCATAATTTTGGTTTTCCAGTGATGCTCATTTTATGTCTTTGATGCTTGATTGCATTACCTTCAGAAGTACGTTATATTCTAAACGAGGAAAAAAAAAGAGAAAGAAAAAGAAACCCACATCTTAAAAGAGAAGTGTGGAAAGGAAATACATGTGTAATGTAGAAGCATTACTTTCAAATAAATCAAAATAACATATTGGGAGGACATAAAGTAACAGTGACAGTATCTGTCATTGCGAAGAAGTACTGCACTTCAACAGGTCATCACACAAAGGATATTAGGACCACATTCAAATTGCTCCCTGGAAGGCTATTCCTTTTCAATTAGCTTAGAGAATTTCTCCTGGCCCTTGTGAGTCCCTTTAATCTACGCCATTCTTGCTATTTCCAAGATTAAGACATTGATTGAGACCCTCCAATCTACTTCTTACCGAAGTTGACTACTTACTTTAAAAAGAGGAAATACTTACTTCTTCAGGAGTTAGGTTCTCCACTTTTTCTTTTTTTTTTCCTTCTCCTTTGCTGTGTTTCTTTTTAAGGCATACCACAGTTGTGATAGTGACAATTAGCATAACAACAAATACTGTTATGGCTGAAGAAACAGCTATTACGGTATTTTCTTGAGTTGTGCCTTTCCTTTCACATTTTTCCCCCATGTACCACCAGTTATTTCCTGCTGGACATCTAGAAAGTAAAGGGACATGTGATTAAAAACAAAGGTATGAAAAGGACTCCTCAGAATATTTAATTTCTGATGCTCTATTTCTATCTCCCAAACCATAATGAAGTTATCTCAAAACAGTTGTCTATTTTAGAGTTGCCTTGGGTGGCCCACTCTCCTTACATATCTGGATATACGGTTCCTTTCTTCAGCTTTCCACTTTTTACAGGTTTTCCTATTTCCACTTCTTCCACGTTTTATAGGTTGTCCCTGCTCTGAAAGAAACAAAGGGAGCCATTGCCAGAAAACGTGAGCTCCAGTCTGATTGTTCTGAGTGCTTCAGGTTTGGCCGCAGCTGCTGCTAGGAAATGCTGTTTTGCTACCAGTACACAAGCCCTCTGGGTAACCCAAGTTCACTTGCCTGCTTCCTTTTCCTTTGTGTTTACAGCACTTCAGTTGATAGAAAACTCACTTTCTGCTCCGCAAAACTGACACCTGTCCCAAGGGCCACTATCATGTAATAGTTGCTTCCACTATGCTAATTGCCCTCATATCCTGATGCAAATTTGCCTTTTCACGTGCTCAGCTTTTAAACAAAGCTCTTCTATTCAGTCCGTATTCATTCAGTGCGTTTAAAAAAGCTTTTATAAGAAGGAGTTGAATAAAATCTATGGGGAGCTAGACCAGAAGCTTTATGCTGCTTTTATCCCATCAAGCCACATTTATCACCCTCCAAGAAACTTCACTGTACTGACTCCTCTTGTGTTCTTTGCCTTCTTAATTCTCACCTTTGCAGCAATTTGAACTGGCAAGATAAATAGAGCGGAGAGCACAGGGCAGACCCTCAAGGCATCAGTGATCTGATCATACCTGAACCATACTAGGACAGACATAGCTGAAGATGCTTCCATCACACTGCATTTTCCACGCTCAGGAATTCTCTGTTAGTAGCTGTGGTAAATTCTGAACAGACATTCTCATTTCCAGAAGGGGTTTGTTTTCAAATTTTAAGAACTTGTGTGAGCAGTCTCTGCCTTCCCCCAAAAGAAGGCTGGAGTATCATTCTGGAAACCTTCTGGTTGTGCACTAAACACAACCTCCAAGCCCTGATTCCTTCACCTTATTCAGAGTTACTACTAGCTCAAACAATTTATGAATGATCTAACTGAAAAAAAAACATCTATGGGCAACACTGCTGAGTTCACATCTGCACCTCTCTCTCAATACCTTTGTCATTCCTTATGTTACTGTTTTTATAGTTTCTGTCTAAATCATTTGTTCGGAACTCTATGTTTGGCCCTGAAAATGAATCCATTGAAGTGCACTGCAAGGCTGTTTAGGGATTTAATGTGATCAAGCTTAAATGGATTTATGTATCACATCCTCCCTGGTTTTCCAATAGAAAATCAGAGCAGAAACTGACTGCTGGTTACACACTTCTCCTGGATAAAAAGTAGGCCACATCTACAAATAGTCTGGAGATGTCAGAAAATAAATCTTTTCATAATTCCAAAATCAAGCATAACATTCAGCATGACTCTTTTATTTCCATCTTCTTGGAACAGCTTCTTGACATTTTCTGATATTTGTGACCTGTCTCTGACGTGCTGCACAAGCCCCTTTGCAGAACTGTTTTCTAAAAGGTTTCTAAATGGGGAGATAGAACAGTCAGTGAGTCATACATGGCTCTCATTGCTCTTGGCCTTTGGACATTTACCATCCCTGCTCTACCTGCCTTGGCACAGCTTCATAGCACATTGTTACTATCTTCAGCCTCAGAGTTTGTTTGAGAGCTGGAACAATGCTAATCAGCCAGGTGGGCTGCATAAATGAATCAACAGAGGAATAAATTGAAGTTGTTACATATTTTCCTGCAGGGTAAACAGTCGCTTTGGTCCTCAGCCTTCATCACTGGTTTCAAAGACAAGCGACTGTACTTTGTTAATTCATGATCATGATTTGCAATACTCTATGCTTCTATATACGATTTTAAAACAAAGTTATCCTACATACACTGCCTGGGAACTCTTGATATATTTTCTTCTGATATCAGAACTCTGTTTCAGCTACATTCATATTTAACTATTTTGCTATAGAGACATCTGTGGAGATGCACAGCCCATTTTATCACATTGGACTAATATATTACTGAAAATAGGAAGTATATTTATATATAATTTACATATAACTTACAGGTAAGTCAGCGTACTCCAAGTATTGCGGATAGGAATTTCTTTTTGTCCTAGCTGATCTTATGTCACTTGCAGTAAGTGGCTGGAAATATTTGCCTCAATTAGTTATAGTCCCTTCCTTTTGTTAGAAACAAATAGTTATTCTACTAGAAGCTTTCATCACTCCAGTTAAAATTGGATTTGAGAGTGAATAAATACAGTTACCTGCACACTGCTTCTCTGTCTACGATAATGCAGACACCATCATTTTCACAAGGGTTGTCTGGACAGGCCTCCGGTGCATCCGTCTCTGGCTCTTCAGTCAGGGTCACAGGGGGTGTTGTGATGGGTGTTTTGGTAGCAGTAGGACTATCTGTGGGCCTGGTGGTGACAGTGGGCTTGGTGGTGATGGGCTTGGTGGTAGTGGTGGGCCTGGTGGAGGTGGTGGGCTCAGTGGTAGTGGTGGTGGCAGTAGAGGTAGATCTGACAGTAGAAGTGTCTGCAGTAATGGTGGGTGACACGCTTGGCTGAGCTGATACTAGATGTGATACATCTGCATGAGAAGAAAAAAGGCTTTTGCTTTATCTCTCCTTTTTGATCTTAGATTCTAATGATAAGTTCTAATAGTAAAGATCAGAGAATTTTTGAACTGTTTTACATTCCTCTGCTATAATGAATAGTCTTTTCTTTTACCTTTCAGGAACATTATGTATCTTGGAAGGGTCCTTGTAATTTTAAAAAAATTTAAACAGACAATTTTATTCAAAGTACTCTAGTCAAAGTAATTTCCACAGGAGTAGCATCATTTTATACATTTAAATTTTAACCTACCTATGAGATAATGGATTTAAAAAAGAATGTATCTACCCTCACATCTATTTAAATACATAATTTGACTTTAGATATATGAGTAGTACCTGAATTGCTCATAATGTAAAGTACATAATGTGTATTTATATCCACAGAATCAGTGACTTACTATGTGACACTATGTACTTTCCTGTATTATAAAGAATATTAGCTATCATCAGTGTTTACATACCTTCCATTGTTAAAAGAATATAAGCACCACCTTCTTTAATAAAGTCACGGCTTCTAAGTCTCTGATGAGTTAAGAATGCATTTGTTCCACGTCCTGGACCTCTCATGAATGTAGTTCCATTTGGGAAAGAAGCTGTTGATCCCACTTTATCTGGCCTATCCCAAAAATAATTTGATGAGGAATCTGAAAAAAATGAACTGAATGTGAGTGTGGGATTACTCTAGATTTTTTTTCTCAATAGAGCTCCTTCATTCTCTAATTTTTGCTGCAAAGTAATACTAGGCACTCTCTCCATAAGCAAGACAGATTGTGTTCCAACCTTGCCTGTTTCTGCTCGTGGAAATAATGGAGATGGAAATAAATTACCTGAAACTCAAGGAGCAGAAACAGTGCTGAACCTGCCTAAAATAGATTTATTTATTTATTTATTTATTTATTTATTTATTTGACAGAGATTCCACACTAATGGGACACAAGACAAAGAAGATCTGTGTGAGTTCGTCTGAGGTACTGAGCATCTGCTGATAGGGATGCAGGACAGAGAGCACCTGAACAACCCAATTGGTCACAGGCTATTATTATCCCTTCCATCAAATCCTGTCATAAATCTCAGAGTTGAGCCTGACTTTGTATTGAAAGATGTGACTGGGAGAAGAAACTGCTTGCTCCAACATCTCGGCTGGTCAGAGAAAGATGTAGTTACAAGGCTTATCTTGGGAATCTGAGGCTACAAGCAAAACATGAACAAGGGAGAAGTGGCTGAGCACAAACAGACTGCAAGTCCTCAGCATCACAGAAGGAAACAAGTTGAGTGCTGTGGCCATAACAGTAGAGAGCGTAAATGCCAACCATGGGGAAATTGCCATAATCATCCTTCAAATACAGAGTTGGTCTTTCTAGATTACTACTTTTTTTATTTTTTTCATGTAGAAAACATCGTTAAAAAATGAATGTATGAGGACTGTTCTGTAAGTAATTGTTGGTGGTATGGTAGTAGAGATTGAACCTTTCCACCAATATTTCATTACATTTTGCTGCCATGTGACAGCAGCAGAGGGGCAGTCTGGCAGAATGGTGTCTGACGTGAAAGTGCATATCAAGCAAAGGTGTGGAACTGAATTCCTCCATGCAGAAAAAATTGCATACATTGACATTCATTGATGCTTTATGAATGTTCATGGAGATCAAACAGTGGATGTGAGCACAGTGAAGTAGTGGTTGGTGCTTTTCAGCAGTGTCAACAGTGACATGTTGACAATCCATGTCCTATAGTTCAGATATGGTACCTTCCGGCTTCATCTCTTCAGGCTGATGAAAGATGGAGTGCATGGGGAACATTTTCCTAGCAATTATGTCGTCATAGCAGCTGCAAAACAGTGGGTCACCTCTACTGGAACAAATTTCTAAGAGCATGGCATGCAGGCTCTTGTTCATTGCTGGTGCATGGCTAATGGTGGTGACTATGTTGAAAAATAGTGTTTTGTAGCTGAGAATTTGCTCAATCTATAGTGTGACTGTGCTCTTTGTATCTGTTGTAGTTTCCATGGAAATAAATAGGAGGCACTACTTTTGGAGCAACCTATGTAAATCAAGGTTTTTTTAAAAATATATCAAGAAATAGACATTTTAGTGCCTTTGTTCCTGCATTAATGTTATAGCCTGAAAGCCCACAAAACTAATTCAGTAGTGGAGGTTGTTTCTTTTGGCAAAATCCTTTGATGCAGAAAGTTATTTTGGCTTAATTCAATCTTTATCAAATGGTGAATATGGGATTTTATTTTAATATTTTTTACTAAGATTCCTACCATTTCTCAGAGTTACACGTTCACCTAAATTGCCTCCTTTCCCAGGTACTGTGGACAATTGCTCCTTATCTTGTCACACCTTGAACAAGGATAGATTATGTAACACAAATCAGTACTTTGTCCATCTGGTGATTTGCGCTGACACCACAGTTCATTTTGCAAGAAAGGAGGCTATGTATTTAATAGCTGCACTTTCAGTTGGTATCAACTGCTTAATTTAGTATTTTTTGTTTGTTTGTTTGTTTCAAGCTTTCTGGAAGGCTTTCATTCACATTAAAGCAGATATAAATGCATCTTCACAATCCTGTGGAAGAAATGCTAGGCATGAATGATCCACCTGTTTCTCATGCATATCACCTTTGAAATCAAAGGTTCCAGTTTAACTTGCTTATATATTCAAATCTCTCTTGTCTGATCAATTATACTGCTGCTGCAAGGAAATCATCCATTCTAGAAGTTAAAAAAAAAGCTGCACTAATTTATACAATGAGAAAATTTGCCTCTTTTTCTTATGTTTGCTTTTGTTTGATTGTTTTTAAGCATACTGGATAGTACATCTGCTTTTAACTAACCTGATAATTCCAGAGGGTCTGTTGTTACACTTCTTTGGTTTGACATCCGTTGACGAATATCAGCATGCTGGTCAAGCAGAATCATGGTAACTTGCTGCCATGGGCAGGGCCACTGCAGCTGATCATCGTTTGCTCCGGAAATCAAGTACAAGTATATTGCTAAATTAAGTGGGTTATCAGCAGTACCATTTATATACAAGCCAACCTGAAAAGCGTATCCTTTACTAGAGTAAAAGGGTGGACTGTATATTTTTCCTTCTGTCCCTGCAGGACTTGTGTCTAGGAGATCCGTGAAGTTTCTGATGTGCCAGACATGGTGAGGACATTGTGTTTCTGACAAGTTGATGTCATCAATAGAGAGACCTCCATTTGATAAGCCAGTTCCTCTCACACCTTGAAACACAACCCGGAATTTACTCGTGACATTCAAGGAAACGTGATGGAGCTGCCAGTAATTCACAGGTGAACCTGGAAACATTGGTAGGGATTTCTAAGTAAGCAGTACAATCAAACACTGTACACATCCACAGTGTCTATTCCAATGCTATGAAAGAATTTCTCAGCTCCACCAGCACTGAGATGATGGAACATTTCTCTTGTAGACGTTGCTTTTTCAGTGCGTGATCATATTTTTCCAGTTCAATTTTTCTACAGATTACAGATACGCATAGAAGCTCCTTAATTAGAGTGAAAACAGTGTTAATGTTTCTAAGACTGCTTTTGCTTTTATGTTTTAAAGAACACTGCATTAAAATAGTTGAAAAGTTGTGATAATTAAATGCACAAAGGCGGCTGTCACCTGTGATATAAAAAAACCGTTGGCACCAAGTATCTATAACTGAATAACAACATATCTCAAAGGGAAGAAAAAAAAAGAAAGAAAAAAAAACATGCAGAGAATTCTGGGATCCTAGCACTGTGGAAGTTTGCTTCCACAGAAGCACTATTCACCCATCAAATGGCTGCTAAGTTAAAATTAAAGCCAGAGATTTGCAAGACCTACTACATGTGACCAAATCCCAGTGCAAGGCTGATGCCGCCTCTAGACATGCCTGACTAGTAAATCCCACTTGACTCCAAGAGCAGTTTGCACAAAAACAAAGAATTCTGCACAAAGGCCTTTTAAGTCAAGTGAAAGTAGGACATTCTTTGTTAACAGTACATGCAGCAAAACAATTCTTTTAGCTGTCTGGCTTATGTTCCCCTGAATGAAAGGCCAGACTTTCAGCTGTATTTCTGGACTAGGAAGTGCCAAATCCAAGCACAGAATTCACTTTCCTAACTGTTCTAAAAACAGCACAATGGATTTCAGATAAGAATCATAATTTCTTGCTGTTTTTCATTATTGTTATAATTGAGAGGGGAAAAACAAATTCAGAAACAAGAACACCCCACTATCTTATTAAACTGACTTTTGCATTAACTAATGTCTATTTGAGCTGCAAACATAGTACACAAGACTGGCATTTCTGACTCATGTTCAGTGAGATGATGAAAGAATCAAAGTGAAGTAATGAGTGGAAAAAAGAAAAGAAAAACAGTCATGAGAAGCAGTTGAGCCTTAATGAGCAAAAAAAAGGTAAAAGAAGCAGACTTTATATCTATTATGCAAAAGAACTTTCTCAGACTACTTCATTCAATGGACTGAATTATTTGTAGCTGTAATTGAGATCAACAAATAGTTAAATATTTGAGAATATAGTTTAATCTTAAGTGACTTCAGCAATTCTAGTTTAACTCCATCAGCAGACCTCTGTTGCTCATTTTGTGGGCTCCCAAAGGCACAAAAACTGATTTTTTTTTCAAAGTACGATGCAAATTGTGTTCTGCTGCCCATGTATTTCAGTTCAGCCACTCCAAACGTGACTTAAAAATTAAGTCGAATTTTGTTCATCTTTTTTTTTTTTTTTTTTAATTGATATTTGGGGTATTCCAGGGCACTTATATTTTCCATTTCTTTATTCATCTTTATTCTTATTTATTTATTATTTATTCTTATTTATTTATTGTTTTTCATTCTTATTTATTGTAATTTATTCTAATGACCAACTTCATCTGTTGCTGTTGATACCAGCAATTCTACAACACTTAAAATGACTGTTCATGGAATTTTACCTATTTTGGTACGAGAACTATCTTGATAGTGCAAGAGTTTAATTTGTTGTAATTTAGCATATTATAGGAAAATGGCTGACCGAGGATTCATCAAGTGTAGTACCACCAGCAGAAATTCAATTATTTTGTTAGAGAAGAAGATAAAGAATAAAACTAGGAGATGAGTCACTTTGCTACAGCGTTTTCCCTCAGTACATTGAAAAGCATTATGAGATTAAACCAAAATGCAGCTTTATTTATTCCATACCTTTTATCTCTTCAATTAGTCTCAAAGTACCATTTGGATGGGCATCAGAATACTCCCTGACCAAGACATAGAGCTGGTCACTTTCACTTCCACTATTATAGAAATAGAATTGCAAGCATTGGAAGTCTCTTTTGGGATATAGAATTCTGCTCTCCAGAATAGCTGTGCTTCCTTCTGATACAGCACTGGTGTCGAAATGCATGAAATAGCCAGAATCTGTCAAAAGTAAAAGAGAAGCAAGTGGTAAAACATGTATTCTTAACATCATATTGTAACAGTGCTAGAAGATACAGTCGAGTTCACAAGGGTCACAGCAAACTAGATCCTGTACAAATCTTCAGACTGAGGGCTGTTACCTGTCTGCATTCTTCAGAGGAAGACTTGCTGTTCTCCTTGGACATTTTTTCCTCCTTCGCTTGTCTCTAGCAATTTACACACAATGGGTGCTCTCTTGAAACTGTTCATGCAGTGCTGGTAATTCACATTTGACATTCTCTTCGGAGGACTGGTGTAAGCTCCTGAACTCACAAGTTTCTTTAACAGCTTCGTAAATAATTAGCTACATTCTATTCAGCCCAGAGCAGAGGATCTGAGGGGAGGCCTCATGGCAGCCTACTGTTCCTCACAAGGGGAGTGAAGAGGCAGCAGTGATTTGTGCTCTCTAATGACAGCAACAGGGCCCAAGGGAACAGCATGGAGCTGTGTCAGGGAGGGGCAGCTGGGGGTTAAGGAAAGGGTCTGCACCAGAGGGCGGTGGGCATGGAACAGGCTGCCCAGGGCTGTGGGCACAGCCCCAAGCTGTCACAGTTCAGGGAGCATTTGGACAATGCTCTCAGACACAGTGCTTGAATTTGACTGGTCCTGTGTGGAGCCAGAAGCTAGACTTGGTGATCCTTGTGGGTCCCTTCCAACTCAGGATACATCATGGTTCTATGATTCTCAACAAATTGTTCATCTGAGCTCTGGGAATAGATGAAATTTCTAAATGCCAGTCTTTTCTGAAGTATTACTGTGCAATTATTCAGAAAATCAGCACTATCTCTGACGTGCCTGATATTTCTGATGCGTAGTTTAGAACATTTTGCATAATTCTCTTGTGAGGATGTGACATTAAGGCTAGAGAAGATCAAAAGGGATAAGAACATTCAATCTTCTCAAGTAAGCAGAAAACAGAATGTGTCACTTGGTTTTCCCAAGCATGCAGTTTTATATTGCTTAGTTCAAAAGTTAACTGTGGTTCTTCAACAGATAAACATAGAACAAGGCCAAGAGCAAAGTCAGTTGACTTGCCTTTGCATAAAATATTTCCCAAAGAGATAAGGAGAATGTTTTCCCGTACCTTCACATTCTCCCATGTTAGTGTGATCAGTATTTGGCCCAGCAGAAATGTGAGACAAATGTTGCCAATCACTGTTATCATCTGGACTTTGAATCATGCCACAGATATTTTCAAGTTCAAAACTGCACGTGTCCATGAAACTTAGGGAGGAGGCTACAAGATTAAAAAAAAAAAAAAAAAGAAAGAAAAAAAAGTTCTGAATCTCTGTTACAAAGCGCGTGTTTAATACAAAATACAAAATAAGTCAAGAGCAGAGACACTAAGAAATGCAAACACAGAACAATCAGTGACATCAAACACCATCAACTTTTATATCTGTAACATTCAGGAACTCAAAGCATTTGGAAATTAACACTGACTAGTAAGACATCATCAGGGCAGCAGCTCTGTGCACTTAACAAGCACAAGGAGGGAGGCCTCCAGCACAAGAAAGATGCAAAATGACTAGAGTGGGTCCAGAGGAGGCTACAAAGATGATCAGAGGACTGGAGTACCTCTCCTATGAAGAAAAGTAAGGGAAGTTGGGCTTGCTTAGTCTCAAGGAGAAAAGGCTCTGGGAAAACATCATTGCAGCCAGAGCTTACAAGCAGGAGGAAGACCAAATTTTTACATGGTCTGATTGTGACAGGACAAGGGCAAATAGCATTTGCTAAAAGTCAGGAGATCTAGGTTAGATGTTGGAAAGAAATTCTATACTCAGAGGGTAGTGAGACACTGATACAGTTGCCCAGAGAAGCTGTGGGTGCTAAATCCCTGGAGGTGCTCAAGGCCAGGTAGGATGGGGCTCTGAGCAGCTGAGCTGGTGGGGAACAGCCCTGCCCATGGCAAGGGGGAACTAGAACCAAATAGTCTTTAAGGTCCCTTCCAACACAAACCATTCGATGGTTCTATTATATTTTGTTTACAAAAGGAGCACTGACACCAGCCCTGACCTACCAAACTTCACACAACCAAAAGGTCTGAGGATTCCTCTGCTTTCTTTAGGCTTACTTCACACATAGTCAGAGCTTTTGAAAGAAGTTTCACCAGACCATCTACCGGAGCACCAACTTCAAAATACAGCACAGCAGCAGCTATTTGACTGCAGTATTTGCTCATTCTGCTTGATTTTCAAAATGCTGAATTGAAAACACATTTGGCAAAGATACATTTGAAACCAGTGGTTATCTCACCTCATACAGACTCTGAAGATCTGGTTTTCATATTAACAAGTCAGAAGTTAACAAAAGAAGTAATAAACCCAGGCTTATGCCTATTTTTGGATTTGTTTCCTGTTATACTAGATCTGAGCTCTCTGCAACACCAGCCATTATTTGAAAACAACTGTTAATAAAACGCTTTGTGATTATTGCTTCTCAACCTATGTATAAAATATTGTGACAGTTTTAAAGGTTACATTGCACTAATAATAGGAACCTTGAGTATCACAAAAATCAACCTCAGTAGCATGCTAAATGCTTCAGTGAGCCTAGCTCAGGGAAGTGTTGTATAATTGATACCTTTTAAGAGATGTTTTTGGTATGATGTCGCAAAAAAACAAGAAAAGAAAGATTTTCACAGTAGTTGTTCTATTGACAGTTAGAGAAAATTAAAAAAAAAAATAGGATGTTAGCAAAAAAGTAAGGAAAAAAAGGGGATGATGAAAGAACTCCTTGAAATCAAAGCATAAAGCGAGATATGAAATCAGTTTGTCCGAACAGGAAAGCTGTAAAAAAGTGATGGCATATAAAACTGAAGGACAAGAAGAGAGAGAAGCAAGACCCAATAGCATACAATCTATTTCTTAGATTAAATACTGAGACAAGAGTAGGGGGCTTTGAATTCCATCTGCACCAAATGCCAGTAAGTTTCTCACTGCTTAGTGAGAGGCTGGCAGTATGAGGAGCATGACTGCTGAATCCTAACTTTCAATGAATGAGGAAACTCATGGCCAGTCATATATAAATATTTTGAAGCTTCCAATTTTAATCATCAATTTCTAACCCCGCAGATTTTCAGCAGGAATTCAGGTTAAAGCCTTTCATAAGTTCTGCTCAGCAATAAAAGCAGTTTTTTGATACATCTGTGAGGACATCTGCAACCTAAAGCATGTTTGTCATTCTTGGTCCTTCCTCTAACCTGGAAGGGTCATTCAGCAGCTGAGAGCTGGGACCTGTGAAGCACCTCTTCTCCCTGGCACAGGAGCCTCTTGGGCAAACAGTGAATCGTCTGAAGACCACTTATGGCTCTGCAAATATCATACACCCCTGCTATGCCGAGAGACAGAGCAGGGAGTAGGGGAAATTCTGGTTGCCCTGAAAGCGATGGGAGTTTCATCACTTATTTCACCATGACTGGGGCTTATTTTGCTGAGCAAACGTGTCTGTTGGATAAGAATAAAGTTATGAAGTCAAGAAGTATTTATATACTGCGTGAGAATGATGGAAAGTATATAAGATAATGGAGATGAAGAAGAACCCTATCTGCTGTTAAAGACATCCTTAGCTTTAAGCACTTACGTAAGAGCTAATTGACTGTGTGTCAAATGCTACAATGCCTAAAACTGCATGTGTGTTCATTTTAGACCCACGTGAAGATAAGTACCTTTATCAGAATCGTATACTCATTAAAAGACACTGTTCCAATAAATGTGTTTGATTACTATTTAAAGTATACTTACAGTGAGGTTTAAAACGTGATGTAAGATCTTACACTCTACTTGGTATACTGAGGCAGTGAAGTAAAAGTATCTTCTGAGTGCCAGGACACTTCTGATAGTCACAATTACATAATTATGTTCCCCAGACCCCTATTTTCACTCAACTTTCTAGAATGAATTCCATATGAGCAAAGCAACAGTTTCAATCACTTTGCTAATAGGCTGAGTTTGAAATGGAAACCAAAAATTTTAAAGGCTCACTTTTTCTTCATAACAGCATCCGTCTCTTGTTTGCATGAACAAGCTCTGTCTGACAGACTGTATGAGTGCAGAGCAGGTATGAGAGCCACAGCAAAGACACTCAGTTCTGTAGAGCAGCAGCTGTGCAATAATGCAGGGGGAGAAACAAAAAGCTTGGTGTAGAAGCACACATTTTAAACAGCCACCCAAGGGATGAACAAAAATCATCTACTGAGCAAAGCTGATTTTTAACTAAAGGTCAAATAAAATTGCACAGAAAGCTCTACTACACAGCAGTGTTTCTGCAGGAGGGCTATATTATTTCTAGCTGTACCATTATTTCTGGTGTTTTTAACACAATTCATTTCTCCAAATATATTCACATGTATTTTTTTTACTTGAGGCTGGATAATAAGATAAGAAGCAAAGAATGTAAAATGAGTGGAAAAACTTACAGCAATTGTACAGCTGATTCAGTTTCTGAAGATCATAATCACTGAAATCCATCCTCTGTCCTATTACATCCATGAAGTACGGTATGTTTGTTACGATGGTTGGTTCAGTTCCATTCCTGAAAGCAGTTTTGCTATAGTGCATCACAGATGTATAGTCATAGGGAACATTCAGAGAGTCTGATGTTTTATCATCGTATTTATTGAAATTATGTTCTCTACCTGAAAAGGAAAAATAAAAGATTGTTTATTTCCAGAAAGACTACCAATCTTTGAGATACAGGCTCAAAGTAAAAGAAAATCTTTTAGAACCTTAAGTACTTTTTGGTAATCATTTTTATGTAATTGTTCTATAAAGGCATTTATTCCTGTCCTAAATTTATTTAGCTTCCTCTTTCAGCTATCAGAATGTAACATGATGACTTCTGCTGCATGAAGCCCTTCTCCTTTCTCCTATCAGAAATCTTTTCATCATGAATCTACTCATAAACTGTGATGGGCTTGTGATACCCCAAAGTGGACATGCCATTTCAGTGCTCAAGTTATGCACCTGCAGGAATGCCTCTTTATTTCTAATCCATGTTCTCCGAATTTTAATTGCTGGTCATTTCTAACAAGTTTAAATTGGAGTTAGGTAAACAATTCAAAGTTTAATTTTATAGATGTTTTCTGAAGAATCAGTGAAAGGCAATATTAACTCTAAAGTAAGGCAAAGTTATAAATGTTTTAAATGACAATTAGCCAAAATACAGTAACTAGACTCAGGTCAGCATAAAAAAGCTGCAGCAGTTGCAAGTGGCTAACGATAGCATAACTTGTTATTAAGAAGTCAGCAAAGTATAATGGAAATCAAATAACAGACTCTAAGTCATTTTCTGCAATATATACTTGTGTGTGCACCTGGCTATTGATCAGAACTAAATACGAATGCAAGATTTAATTACTGTCTGGTGCTCAGGGTGTACCTGCACCAGGCCAGTACCATGTCTGGGCACACATCCCTGTTTTCAAACTGTGTAGGGACTACGGAGGATGACAGAATGCTGAACAAGCAGACATCAATCCCAACTCTGAGGAAAACCTATGCCACACTCAGGCTTGTGACAAATATGCCGGTGCTTGCACTTGGAAGCCATGTTGCCACAGTAATGGCTTGTGTGATGGGGACACCAAAAGAGGTCTCTCTGGCCCGTGAGCCCTCTCTCAGAAGAAAGGTCAATCCCTTCCCTTCAGATTTTCTGCTGGCTTTGGTTGTACTGGGTTTTGTAAGGCGGGATTATTTTTAATTACTTTTACAGGCTCCCATAGTAATTAGTGAGTTTAGTATTCATTAAAACAAACCAAGTTACTCTTTTCTGTTGCTGGGCTGTACTGTACTTAACAAGACAGGAGTCAGATCTCCAGTTAAGCCTCTAGGAACTGCTGTGACATGAGTAATAATGGCAGTGACAACAAATAAGGCTGTCCATCCCAAACAGATGCCACTGGATGTTTTGTTTATTGATATGGTGAACTTGAATTTAATTCAAGGTGAGGGAATCTTCGAGCAATGGGAGGATGTCTGAAAGAGATGCTCCCTACCCAAAACATGTCCATTGCCTGAGTGAGAAATCAGGAGAGTGACTGACCGGACTGAATCCTGTCCCAGATGATGGACACGTAGTCATCTCTATCGGACCGTGACTGCTCATGCCAGAAGCCTAGCGCATGAAGGAATTCGTGCTCAACTGTTGCAATCCTGTCACAGTTGTCTCCAATTGAGAGCTGCTGCAAGCCCAGCTTCCGGTTTCCCACTGAGGACCAGCAACTAATATGGAAATAAGATTGGAAGACAAATCTGTGAAGTACATGCCTCCGCCATGCCATAATAAATCCAGAATGAGCCTGATAAACAGGCCTTTCATTCAGCGCTAGAGATACATTTTGCTATGAGTGTTTTTTCATTGATCTGTTCATTACTGGATCCTTTTCTCCCATATGAAACTCTGCTTCAATGAGTAATCAGTTCTCCCACTCCAGATGGATTTTTTTTAATGGGTTTTCTTTAGCAGAAAAGAAGTTGAACTATCTATGACTGAAAAAAAAAAAAAAAGAAGATTATGGGCACATGATTTAAGACCTAAGATTTACTGCAAACTAACAAGCTGCTGCTCCTTGGCTAGATCATCGTAACTACCTGTGGGCATACTTTGGACATCTCTTAGTGCCAGACAAACCATTGCCTTGCCACTTCTCACCTCAACCATCACAACTGCCTCCCCATACTATTTTGGTCTTTTGCTTTGGTGACAGCTTGTGACTGCTAGGTCAGGTCACCCCTGGAAACCATACTCTGAAAGTCCAGTACATCTGAGAGGGCTTTTGTTTGTCTCTTTTCTTTCTAGCTATTTGTGAGAGGTAGTTCTGGGGCCGTTGCTGCCTGCATACACTCACAAGGCAGTGCCAAACTGCAGCTATGCTGGAAGATTTTATTAAAGAATAAAAAAATTCTGTGAGCTATCTGCACAAACCAATAAAGTGGCACCCCATGTCCACAAACTAGCAAGCACATTTAAATTGATGTTTTACACAGCAAATAAATCAACACTTACCCAATGAACTCCATAAAATTAATCAGGCACAAAATACTCCATAGGATTTGCAGTTCTATCACCCCAGAAATGTAAAAAGCAAGCATACCAGGCACGGTAGGACCCTGCAACTTATTAGTGAAGCATATTCCACAGGATTTCTCTTTGTAAAAAGCAGTACAAGCCTTAGCTATTGATTACTCATTAAAATTACAGCATGGGGCCTGGGAGGGAGACATACAGCTTCCATAATTTCACTGGCTTCCCTTGAGCAAGGCCTCATATTGATTATGCTGCTTTTTCTAGTTGTACAAAAATCTAAGAAGTCCATTATAGTTCTGGGTATACTTCATACCACAGCAGATGCCTCTGGCTTCATGGCTGCTGTGTAGAGCACAGCAGGCTACAAGCACACCCTGGACACTTGGTAAAATCAATATTCAAACACCAATGGATGTGACTTCCCCTTGCCTTCATTCTGCCAATTGCCTATGATACCATCATTCTTCAACCACAGAGGGAGTAAATGCACACTCTGTGTCACTCACGGCTGAGAATAAAGCCATGTGAGTGGGACAAGGACAACTGGAGATACAACATACTAATGATGTCTTTCTTCAGGGAAAGAGGAAAATGAAAAAAAATCCCAGCTTCTTCACATATGTTACAGTCTGTCTCTGTCGATTCAGTGCTTTCTGCTGTTTGTTGCTCCATCAGAGGTGAGAGATGTGGGGTAGTATTTGTTCTCACTAATCTTACCAATCTGCTTTTTGGAAGGCAGACCATAAGGAGACACATGCCATCAGTAGCAATGCTGTTCTTGAAGAGCCAGCAGTTTTTCCAGGCTTGTTTTTATACTCACATCCTGCTAGCAAATTCCTGTTTACAGTAAGCCAGATCACCCTTTGCCTTATGCCACAGTGCCAAAGTGACCTCTTAGAAAAACTTCATGAAAACTTGGTTTCCCATCTGGAAATACATGATACAGGGCTGGTCCTCTCTGGTCTGCTAACTATTTGACTCTATCATACCATGCTAGTTTTCCTGGTGAATGAGCCTTGTCCTTCACGAGAAGGGTAGCAATGGCACTTTCCAGACTGCTAGATGAGTTTGCAGGTATGTGCCACTTCTGATGCTCTTGAACTTCTGTCATTCACAAATATTTCTCAGATATTTTGCTTATTGTAGGAACTGGAGGAAAGAAGAGGTCTTTAAACAGATTTTCAGTCTAACCTCTGTAGCTAATGTGTAGACTTGAATTAGTTGCTACCTGCTTAGTGATATATGTATTTATGAATATAGTAGAGTGGTAGCCAAGCCCTGGCATGTGTTAAATAAACTATAGGGATACGGAGAGGGCTCTTTCCTTGGGGGAAAGGGCTCTTTCCTTGGGGTTTGATGGCACTGTGTACATTCATCAGAGACTACAAGCTTGTTTTTATACAGGGTAGCCAACAAACTGACAGCTGATTTCCTTTGTGACTAATTTTGAGTTCAAAAAGATAATTCAAACAATTCTGGCCTACTAGTCAGAAGGTTTTTTTCATTTTTTGAAATAAAGTTCCCTCACCTTCTTCTGTATGTTTCACAGATGCAACACAGATCAGAAATGCAAAGACAATTTGTCTTTTTGTTGGTGCCATAAATTTTTATGAATACAGTTGGGGCTGCCAGGAACTTTGCACTTCTGTGTGCACTGTGCCCTCTGGACTGAGTTCTCCTGCAGCTACTGAAGATCTAGCTAATAAGGAGAAATCTAGAAACAGAAGACTGGAAATGGGCTGCTTTATGCATTTTTCACCTTGAGTTTTCCACTTGGTTCACAGACACTAGGAAAATACATTACTTTCTATGTCTCCACTTACACATCTTTTAGGGTTGAGTTTCAATGTCAGGTGCACAGCACAAAGAGTAGAAAATACAGAGTCAGAGAATGAAGAACTTTTGAAACAATTACCTGATATAAATATCTCAGAACAAGCTAAAGGGAATAGGAAGCATTTCTACTTGCAGAAAATCTTTCCCCATTTATGAATGCATTTTCTCGTATCCGGATATCATATTCTGAAAGTAAATTTCCTCACCATGCTATCAAGGTTTCCCTGGTCTCCTTTTCTAACAGGAGAGAAATGGGCCAGCGTGGTGTGCAGAACATATTTGTTCTGTTACACTGCTTTGATAAAGACTGTCTTAGAGAGGGAAGCAGCTGGTACAATTTTGTTTTTTTTCTTAGAACATTATTTTGTGAAAACTAAGGTGAAATAGCATAACTACTGATAGAAACAAATAAAAAGAGATCTTAGTGTAATGTCTCAGTGCTAGGCAGCACTGAAAAATAATCTGGATGCTTACGTGATATTGTTCAAATGCAGTTCAATTTGTTACAATGAAGCATATGTACTGTCCCAGAGTTAAACCTACTGCATTTTCAATGGGATTTTTTTTCCTAAAACCTAAGGTATGCTTACTGTGATTACATGAAAGTGACATTCCATATAGCCAAAGATCAGTCAAGAAATTAAAGGGCTTGTTTCAGATCTTCTTCTCTTCAAGAATCTGATTACTTATTATATTTAGAAGCAAGTATCAGTGAGAAATTGTTAATTAATACTATGTAATACTTGCTTTGGAAGATATTACATTTTCTAGTTAAGAAAAAAAAGACAGAAAATAGACACAAAGAAAACCAGAGAATTACAGTCAGGTAGATGAGTTTTGGAGAGAATGCTGGACATGAATACAGTCTGTAGCCAAAAAAAAAAAGAGAATTATTTTATACTTCTCCTCTTACCCACTTCCTTTGAACACAGATATGTAATTCTCCTCTCCTTCCCAAGGTTTGAAGTCAATACAGGTTTTGAGCCGATATTGTTCAAAAGCCTTGAGGATGACTCCCTTCGCATTAACTTCTGCAACGTAAACAGTGTTTTTGTCAGTGTTGAGCCACTGGGTTTGTACTGTTACCTGTACAGAGCAAGTCCAAAGAGTCCATACCTTAAGGGTGGCTCTTACTCCAGCAATCTTTAATCAAAATAAACTTTTTGCTAGATTAAGACCTATGTAGGGGTCTAGAAACCATCAAATTGCTCTTGTGACATTTTATCTTCACCTGGTTCTGTTTCTGTGTAATTTTTCTGTAGTATGTATGTATAAGACACAACATGATGAGTATATAATACACATAGTACACGGCTCTTCATTTTGTAATTTTTTTCACTTACTTCACTGAGATTTTCTTGAACATGAATGAAGTAGATAGTGAATGACGACATCAGATTTCACCTAGGGCTAACTGTAGGCTACGCATCTCTCACAGAAACTCTCTGGGACTTGAACATACTAACTGTATGTCTGGCTTATCTACTCTGAGCAATTTATGTGGTTTCAATTCTTTACTATCTTAGATCCTAGCCTAAACTGGGGATGAGTAATTTTTTTTTTCATGTCATAGACCAGAAAAATGACCTCACACTGTGTGTTGAGGGCACGGTCACAGAACCACAGAACCACAGAACCACTGAATCACAGAATTGCCAAGGTTGTTAGGACCTCAAGGATCATGAATCTCCAGCCCCCCAACACATGCAGGGCCACCAGCCTCCCCATGTAATACCAGACCAGGCTGCCCAGGGCCCCACCCAATCTGGCCTTGAACACCTCCAGGGACGGGGCATCCACAGCCTCTCTGGGCAACCTATTCCAGCACCTCACCACTCTCTGGGTAAAGAACTTCCCCCTGACATCCACCCTAAACCTTCCCTCCCTCCCACAGTCTCCTCATGTGCAGTGAAAACCACGACTGTGAGAAAGAACCTCTGTACTACGAGGGTGACAGAGCAGTAGAACAGGGTGCCCAGAGAGGTTGTGATGTCTCCTTCTCTGGAGATATTCACGGCCTGCCTGGACACACTCCTGTGCAATGTACTGTAGAGAACCTGCTTTACTAGGGGATTGGACTAGATGATTTCCAGAGCTCCGTCCCAACTCTACAATTTCATGATTTTGAGAACTTGAATTCCCTCTTTCACCACTCCCCTCTGCCATGCAGAGCCACAGTTGGTTGTACCTGAAGGGATGGAGATCAGCCCAACCCCAGAACACTCACTCAGACCACTGCAAACTGCATTATAACTCAGAATGTCAGTTTGCCCGCAGTGCTCTAGGTGGTATAAACAGCCAAGTAAGCTGCCTGGCTTTAACAAGATCATCGGTGTCATTTTATTTCTTCATCTTACTATGGTTTCATGTCTTGGACATATGCTTTTCAAAGCAAATCAATCTGCTGGGTCATTACAATATCGGGTTAAGAGCATCCAGAGAGGAGGTGGGACCCAATACCAAGACCAAGATGAGATATCCTGCTATTGCATATCCAGACCAAATCCTGTTGGGGGAAATGGCCTGCTCTAGACTAACAGCATGGCAGTAGGAAGAGGGAAGGATGACAGGGATCTTTACTGATCTGTAATCAATATTTCAATCAAAGTAACATACAGACATTGTCAAGGACAAATACTGTACCCAGGCTATCATCAAGGACATAGGGGACGACATGGGGCCAGCGATATTCATCACCAATGATGGAGTTTCGTTCTTGCACCTGAGGAAGAAAGTAAGTGTGCAGTTTTCTGTAAAAAATGATCTGGGGTCAAAGACTAAGATACTGCTAATGTTACGTTTCTTATGAGTTCATATAAGAAAGATAAGAAATCAAAGAAAGATAAGATGATCACTGAAAGGCCTACGGCTTGGGTTTGAAGTGAAACACATTTCTAACCATGTCTCCCATTTCTGCAGCATTTTCTCCGTACATTATTTGTGATTTTGATGCATATTTGAGGAGAGCTTCAGCTACTGTGGGAAGCATAAAGTTCCAAAGTCCTGAGATGTGCACAAACATCAATAATTCTGCATTTTTCATAATGCAAAGGCTTGCTCCTATGCCATTAACAAATGCTTTCCTTGCTTCCACTGACATGCCCAGGCATAAGCAGTTCACCAAAAAGGAAAAGAAAATCAGCACTGATTTTCAGGGGCACAAGACAATTTTTTGGGCTTCTACTACATATCTTTGAGATGTAACTGGCTATGCAAATATTTTTTATTCTTATTGATTGAACAGGCATAGGGGACAGATGTTTTAAAATGTGGTATTACTCACAGGTATAATTTTCTATTGGTTTTGGTTTATCTGTTTACACAATGAAAGTTTTGCAGCACTGGTCCATAAAGTTAATTGGTTCATAATTTACATGCATATTCCACAGATAAATTAAGAATGTTTTATATAACCCTGTCTGGATGTGATTTGTGCTGCTGAATATCCTACAAGTACAAATATAAAACCCACTGCAAAGAAAACAAGATGCTAATGATATTGATCTACTGGCTAAACTGACCTAATTCTGGATAATGTTTCTTTAAATGCACCCAAGTTTTTCATTGCTTATGACACTTTGTAGAAATGTATCTCCAAACATTTTCAGTTTATCATAACATAAACAGCATTTATTGATAGTATGAGCAGGATGCATCAGTCATATTTCATGCCACTAATACTTTACACTGCATGAGTCAACGACACAGTTCTGGTTTTATATTTTATATTCAAACTCACCCCATCAAGTTTGATGTCTCCCTCAAAAAGGTCCAGTCCTAGAGCTAAAGAGAAGAGGAGATTAACATCAAGTTATTATATTGATCTACAGCTACCAACAAGAAAAAGAGAAACTGAATTTAAAAAAAAAACCTTCATTGATGTCAAAGATGTCTTGATCAATTCCTCCATCTATGTCTAATTCTGAAAAATAAAAAGACAAGTGAGGTAGGACATGAGCCCTTGCTGTTATCTTTATGATGTGTGAAAATTAATGCAATAACAATAACAGTAATTATAAATCTGTGTCTGTCCTAGCAATGTTTATGAGCAGCTGTTTTTGTTGATTGCTTCCCATGCATACAAATTGATTTCTAAACAGAACTCACCAGTAGTTTCCAGAGCAGGCTGGGGAGAAGAAAGGAAAAGATATATTATTAGAAAGGCACACAATGAAATGCAGTCAGCATTATTCTCTCTACAGTATACTAGAGATGCATTTATACTCAAATAACAGTATTTATCACATTGCTTGTATTGGACTGATTGGACCTTCTGTCTTCTCATTTGACTGCAAATGCTCATTTGCTTGTTTCAGTTTTTTGCCCACTCCACGCCAAGCCGTCCAACGGGCAAGTCAACAAGTACTGCTCCTGTAAAGTTTTCACAATCTAGTACTTCTGTGAAAACAAATATTGCTACTAGTAAAATTGCCCAGAACCTATGGAAGGCATGCTTAACTTTCAATTGTAAAGCAGTATTTGGGGAACAAATCCCCTGTAAATCCATAGTGTCAATAGTCTTGTCTTACATTCTAAAGTTTTATTGCCTTTATGTCCTAGCATTACCTTCCTTTACCGCAAGATATCTACAAAACAGTCTCCAGTCCATGTACTCAAAATTTGAAATGAAAATGGAGCTGGTAAAATAAACTGAAATTACTCAGTATGTAATACATGTTTTCAAGAATTTATTTGGTTTTAAATTTCTACTTTTCCACCAGTATTTTGTTAATGTGAAAGAAAAAAAAAACCATCAGAGAATTAAAGCTTGCAATATTAAAAAGTTGAAATCACGTTTTCTTTTCTATTAAAGAAAGCTAATGGAGCAGTGAGGTACTGGCACAGCTGCCCAGAGAAGCTGTGGATGTCCCATCCCTAGAGATATTCAAGACCAGGTAGGATGGAGACCTGGGCAGCTGAGCTGGTGGGGTGCAGCTCTGCACATGGTAGGGAGGTTGGAGCTAGATGAGTGTTAAGGTCCCTTCCAACACAATACATTCTATGAATGTATCTATCTATGTATGTACGTATCTAATACTCTATGACTCTGATTCTATGCTGAACAGCCTTACAGTGATTAATGGAGAGCAAACATTTTTGTAGTTTCAGTAATTACGAACTTCTATGTTCTCATATCTACTAATCAGAAAACATAACTATGCTAAAGGTAAAAATTGGCTAGCTCATGAAAAATGCTCCTGTATCTGCATTCAGAGCTCAGTGTAGCTAAGCCCAGTGGTATCTAACGTGTATAAAACAAAATATAAATCCATTACCGAAGAAAAGCAATCAATTGAAATCCAGGCTGGTCCTGGATCTGAAAATTGTCACTGAATGTTATACATGGAAGGAATTCTTTTCATCATTCCTTTTTACTTATTTTGAACTTTAGTCATGTGAATCTCAATAGTAAATTACTCAGTTTCCAAAGAAGTATCTGTGTATTACTTGTTCAAGTAGGAACAGCTTCAGTCTTAGCACCAACCTGACAGCTGAGACCCATTTGTTGAATTTCTAGCCTCTGAAAATTTTGCAAACAAATAAGAGATTCACATTTCACAGGCACATGAAGGGGAAGTACACCTATGATGTATTCCAATGAGGAAACTGATTTAATCTAACCAAAGCTACTTAGATGCATCTACACCAAATGGTACGGTTGTTTTGTTTGGTTTGTTTGTTTTTGTTTTTTTCCTGCAAAATTTATAATATTAGTGCCTAACTTTGGCAGACAACACGACTTATGAGAATTAAGTTGCACTGGAGGTTGGTCAAACCATGGCTTGCCGGCATGTTTAACTCGCTTATAATTCACGTACACCTCAAATAGGCAGGAAAAGCATCTCACCTATTCTAGTTGTAAAAATTAGGTATTGGTGGTAATCGGTGGAGAAATAAATGAGTTATTGCATACAAAATTGATCTGTCTCTAAGATAGTTATGGAACAATCACAATGTCCTGGCATCTCTAAAAGATGACAGACCTCACTGAACTTCTATTCAAAGATGTGATGAATCACCCAGTGAAAACTTTCCAGTCTCACCACAGACATAGTCTGGAATATGGTCAACCAGTTTGGATGAGAACTCCTAACTTACTGGTGTTTCCTTCGGACTACATAACTCTTGGTAGTAGCATCCAGAAATGTGAAAGAAGATCTTCCTGGCCACAATGAACATGGAAATCAAGTAAGTAGCCCTACTGTGCTGAAGACACCCCCCTCACACAGGAGCTAGTAACTGTGAGTCAGCTTGAGGAGAGATAACTTGTAGATGTTGGTAGCTGTCTGCACCACTCATTACATCTTTACAAAAGCCTGTAGAGGAATGTAAACAAAGCTGAGGATTGAGTCTCCAAGAGTTTCAGAACAGGGGAAGAGGGAGTTGTGATGGACAGAGGAAACAGGAATGGAGTGCAGAACTTGGGGGATACAGGAGAGCTATAGGAAAGTTGGGGTTTGGGTCTGAGCTCCTAACTTAGAGAGGTGATGTACTGTATGAGCTGTGTATGAATGTATGAGAGGGACAGACTATGACTGTCACAGTAAGATTTTGCACCTGGATTCCCAGAATCAGACAGCTAAGTTGCATTAATTAAAATAGATAAGACTGTTTCACTTGAAGTAATACCTTACTCTGTAAGTTACCCCAAAGCCATTATGAATTTACAACAGAAGTGAGCATAAACAACTCACTGGTTTTCATTCTCCAAATTAATTATACTGTATATCACTCCAACATCTGGCCTCAACAATGAATTATCCTAAGAGCAGCAAAATATTACCTTTCTGTAAAAAAGACATGAAGTACAAAATCTCAAAGGTGTCATTTTCTGGGGGTAATAAATAGTTTAGCTGGACAGAATGAACAGAAAACAACCATTAAAAAGTACATCCAGTGGCTAAAAAGATATTGATTTCAATGTAAAATACCTCAAGTTATAGCAAATAAATAAATAAATTCCATTCAGATATGGAATAGCAAAATGCTTTTAAATATTTATCTTGGTTCTAACTCTGCATTTACAACTCTGGTAATATTACTTTGAATATCAGTGAAATTCTGCTTAGGCAAGGAACACAACGTATGCTCTTCCAATGCATACCCAAGCCTACTAAGAACAGTGGCTCAAGGAAAACAGAAATCTTTGTTTCTTCTCCACACAGAAGAAACAGAATTCTAATTTTGGAACAATCATATACTTAAGTCTTTTCCTCTCAGACTCGTATCGATCTGTACTGCTTATTTGAGCACATAAAGAAAATGCACTATTTGCTTTCTTACCTGATTCCAGACCACCTGAAGAAGACAGCTTAGGAGCAAAAGCACAGAAAGCCAGTCCATGTTTTTATCCAGTCAGCAAACAGGTGAACTGATAGAATTCAGACCAACTTGGTATTTAAGAGAGTAAATATCATAAACCAAAACCTTTGTCCTTTCATCAACGATTAACTTCCCTACCTCTACCTTGTCTTAAAAGTGAAGTCCATCGTAACTGCACTAGGGCAACTGACATATAGTTCAATCAGTTTTAAGCACTGCTGTGAGAAAATGTATTGAACACAAGTTGAAATATAGGAAGAAATGAACAGAAGAAAACAGAAATTCAAAAGAAATGGAATACATATACAAATATACAAAATTCCAAATAAACATAAGAAAACCTTATTTTTTTATTTTTTTATTTTTTTTTACAATGAGGGTGATTAAACATCAGAATAAGTTGCCTAGATGGTTGTAGAGTCTCCACTCTTGAAGATATTCAAAACCCAGCTGGTCACAGCTGTGAGGACCCTTGTTTGAGCACAAGGGTCACAGCAGGGGGTCGCCAGAACCATCTTCCCACATAAGCCAATGCGTACATCTGTGGATAAAGCTGGCACTAAATCCCTTTGAAAAACTGAAAGCTCGTAAGGCACTTGGCAGGTAAGACCTTAATACATTTGTATGTATTTTTTGGCAGAAAGGGGCAGCAATAAACATGTGCACAGATCTACCCCCAATGTAATTTCAGAATCTTGCTTTTAGAAAAGGCAATGTCATCTATACTGTTGATAAAAATGAAGCACTGTAATTTGTCAGTAAATCAGGTGGTGCTATTCTTCTGGATTATTTTAAAAATCCATACAAATTAATTTTTAAAATGTCTCTTTTGCCCTTGTATTATTGCTGTTGTTACTGTGTGGAGTTTGAGTTTCTTTTGACTTCAGTCACCTACTTACTAACAGCCAGTGAGCACTGAACTGGCCGGCTTCTTCTTACGCTTAAATTTAAGACACTTGCGGATACTCTATGATCAGACTTGGCTAGCTGTTTATTTCCCCAGATCCAATGCCTGATTAGAATTTCAGAAAAGCTAAAGTGACATTTGGATTTTGTACGGTGATTGCAAAGAACAGATTTCCACATGATTGTATCAAAATTAATAACATTTCTCATAAAATTTCAAGTACCGGAGCTGGTAAGAAACAACTAATTGTTCTCAGGCAATTGCCAAACTAATTTCCAGCTGCCCAATTCCAAGCTTATTTTACTGTTTAACTACTGAGAAGCAGTAGTTGTAGATATCACTGTTCCTACATCATAGCATTTTCTACAAAAATTAATAGCAAATAATGTAATCCTCTATCCAACAATCACACTGCTAGTTCTTACCAAATCACTGATATTTGGAAGGCTGAAAAGACTTTTTATCAAAGCTGCTTCTGCAAGTTCACCAGTTCTTGAATTCTTCCCTATTCCTTCTGCAACTACCGGATGATGCTGGTAATTCTCCTTTCAGAGGTTCTCTAGGTTAGGCTGGCTATGCCTATAGTAACAGTTACTAACTGGAACAGATTTGTAAATCAAAGTATTTGGTGCTAAGAACTTGGTTTCTATGTCATACACATTTCAAAGAGTTTTATTTTGGCCAAGCTGTGATCTGATCCCAAGGATTGCAAGTCAGTGGTGGCAACTGGACTGCATTAAGCAGACTCTGTTAGCTTCATATCAAAGGAATTAAATTCATAAACACCAGTACTCCTTTGTGATGTGAACTAAAGCATGTTAAGTGAAGATGGTGGTAATACTTGTTTGAAAAATGCACTGTTGGTCCGAAGTAAAAGACTGCAATGGCTACATCCATTATTCTGTGATTAGAGCACCTGATAGGTACCTTACAAAGAATTTAAAAGAATCAACACATTTGTTAACATGTGTTAATCAAAGAAAACAGTAAAAAGTGTTGGAATTGGTAATTCCAACAATTGGAACAAAGAGAGAAGGTACAGATGAAGTTAACCAATGTACCTGACCCTGAATTGTTATACAGTCCATACTCATTTTTTCTCCTTATTTACTCTGCTTTTCAACTAGTTTCAGTTTTGACATCTCAGTCAGCAATCTGCTAATAAGCAAACATTACAAACAGATAATTAAGCAATATGTGAAAAAAAATGGTGAAAGTTCTTTGCGTGAGGTGTCTCCCATGAGGTAGCAAACTGGATTTTTAATACGTGATTAGGCAATGGCAGTAAACAAGCAGGCAGTTTAAAGAAGTTTTTACAATCATTTATATGGAGCTTATCTACTTTTGTGACCGTGTTCTCTACAGCGACCAACACTTTGTTTTACCGCTGACTTATTGTGTTCAGGCAATATAGCTATCCCTTATTTTACTTAAGAGTTGAATCTGTATTTTACTTTACAGAATAAAAGAACTATGTGCCACATCATACTTCTAAAACCAATACAAACAGTAGGAAATAATGGAGAATTAATGGAAATGAATTAATAAAGGACAGTGCAACCTATTTAAATAGATAGTGTGTGTATGGGAACTGCTGAGTCATGGCCTGAACCTCTGATCACCTGAGGTGAGCAGTGAGTCAGCCAGAGGAGCACAGGTGAAGGCAATTCACCTGTGCTGCTGGAAGGGGTGGAGCCTGGCTCCACCCCTCCTAGACCTATTTAAGAGCTGGCTACCAGTGGGGAAGGATCTCATCTAGAGATCCCTCCTTTTGGTGTTTTGTGGGTGAGCCCAGCATAAGGGTAAGCCTTCCATTTATTCTCTTTCATTATCATAGTCTACTTTGCCTAACTCTCTTGTTTATTTTGTGATTGTAATATCTTAATATCCATTGATTATACACTTGGCGAGCCAGGCAGGCCAAATATACTAAAACTTACATCATGTCTTTTCTTTGGAATTTCTATAAATGGGTCAAGGGGGAGAACAATACTCTTCTAGAGAAAATAATTCCAGGGCGGATCCCAGGATTTGAGGGATCCCCCTATTAGGAGTTAGCTGCTATCATTGAAAAATGGGTGTTATGAAAAAAAAACACGTTATGGGCAATATCTCCCCATGTCCGGGGAGACTACTTTCAAGGACTTAGCAAGGATGTGCTCATCACTAAAGAAAGGCAACTGGCTGCCTCCGCAGTGGTATGGCCACTATTAAGTGCCTTAAATCATGCGGATATAAGAAATGATACTTTAGAGACTGAAAATCAACTTTTGAAAGATTGCATTGAAAAACTGGAGCATGAACTTGGCGTTTTAACAGGGAAGAAGCCAATTCTACATCTTCTCGTAGGCGAAATTTGTGACATTTCAATAAACGATGACCAGACTCCTGAATCAACAGACTTCGTTGATCAGGAAAAGAAAACATCTAAATTAGATCTTGAATATCCAGTTCTGACTGATCAACTAGAAGTCCGTCCTGTTGTAATCCAGAAAACAAAAAAAGTGCAGGGCAGACCGGCAGGAGTGCCGCCTGATCAGTGGCCCCCTGCCCAGACTCATCGACAAGTAACGGCCCGGCCATACGGAGCAACAGAATTAATGGATTTAGTACAGTGATTTCGGCAGAAGCCTAGAGAAAAAGTGCCGGCTTGGTTATTAAGACTGTGGGATTCTGGGGCAGAAAGTGTCTTGGTGAATGGCCCAGAAATTGGCCACCATGACTGTCCATCCTGCTCTCAGACAGAGGCTATATGTGGGTAATCAACATCGTGATGAAAACCATTCTATACTAGAATGGTTAATGGCGGCCTGCCGTATGGTGTGGCCGAATAAATCGGACATACCTTTACATACAGGCATGTGGTCCTCCATGGAGGACCTTCAAAATTATATCCGTGAACTGGGTGTAAGAGAGGCTATCTATGAAGACACATTTGATGGCCCTGATATGGTTAAATTTTCAGCAGGGATGAGAGCCTTAATTTTACAGCAAGCTCCCTCCCATCTCTACGGCATCTTAGTCTCTATATTAAATCTCCTTGTAGCCTCAGAAGCCATAGTCCAGCAGGCTGCCCAGTTAGTTGCCGACTTGGGAGGAACAGAACGCCTGCGGACTAGGCGCAGTATTCGGCTATTAGAAGAAGCAGAGGTCCTGCCGGTAAATAAAACCAAAATGCCGGCTACTCGAGCTCCTCGATCAGGACCCATAAAGGTATCCTGAAAACAAATGTTTAATGACTTAATTTGGGCTGGGGTCCAAATTGCTAAGACTGACTGCCAGCCCAACCATGTCCTTCTCCAGCTCTGGAAACAACTAAAGGACAATCAAAAATTCCAGAATTACCCTAAGAAATCAAGGGTGAGGGTTATAGAGAGGGTACCAACAACAACATGGAATCTAGAAGATTTTATTGTTCCAAATAGGAAAAAAAAAAAAAAAAGCCACCTCAGATGTCTCGGACCACAATGCCTGAGCCACCAGAAGCAAAAGAATTGGCCATAACACAGTTCATGGTGTGACAAGGGATGCTAGTCCCCATAGGGCCTGCAGATGGGACCGGAGGCCCTATGTAGAATTAACGATTTATTGGTTCTGGAAAAATATTCAGAGAGTTATGGCATTGGTAGACATGGGAGCAGAAACATCAATTATCTATGGAAATCCAAGGAAATTTGATGGGGACAGAGTGATGATTGGTGGCTTTGGGGGACAGACTATTCCTGTCACCCAAACATGGTTAAAATTGGGGGTTGGGCGTCTCCCATCCCGGGAGTACAAGGTGTCTATTGCCCCAGTCCAAGAATACATCCTGGGCATAGATATTCTGTGGGGTCTGGCTCTCCAAACAACTGTGGGAGAGTTCAGACTTCGACAAAGATGTATCGGTATCCGGGTGGTGCAGGCAATATTAAGAGGCCATGCGAAACATGAGCCTGTTTGCCTGCTGAAACCACACCAGATTACTAATGTAAGGCAGTATATACTCCTGGGTGGGCAAGATGAAATATCGAGAACGCTGCAGGAATTAGAAAAAGTGGGTATTATAAGACCTGCACATAGCCCATATAACTCCCCGATATGGCCAGTGCGAAACTCAGATGGCACACGGAGGATGACATTAGATTACAGAGAATTAAATAAGGTCACGCTGCCTATTCATGCAGCTGTACCCAATATTGCCTCCATAACCCTAATGGACACATTGAGTAGGGAGATAAAAACCTATCATTGTGTCCTAGATCTAGCAAATGCATTCTTCAGTATCCCAATTGCTGAGGAATCGCAAGATCAGTTTGCGTTTACGTGGGGAGGCAGGCAGTGGACCTTTCAGGTCCTGCCACACGGGTATGTGCATTCACCAATGTATTGTCATAATCTAGTGGCACGTGACCTGGCTAATTGGAGAAAACCTGATGATGTTAACCTATATTATTATATTGATGATCTCCTGCTGACATCCGACTCACTGGATGCAGTAGGACAGGCAGCAGATTCATTAACCGCCTATTTACAACAGACGGGATGGGCTATAAATCCCCAAAAGGTGCAAGGTCCAGGCCTGTCTGTAAAATTCCTGGGGGTGGTTTGGTCAGGAAAGACCCAAGTGCTACCCAGTACTGTTATAGATAAGGTTCAGGTGTTCCCAGTCCCTACAACATCAAAGCAGCTGCAAGAGTTTCTAGGTATATTGAGTTACTGGCGTTCCTTTATACCTCACCTAACGCAGCTGCTAAGGCCACTATACAGACTCACAAAAAAGGGGCAGCTATGGGACTGGGGGAAAACTGAACAGGATGCTTTCCAACAAGCGTAACTGGCAGTTAAACAAGCCCAGGCATTGGGTATATTTGGTTCTACCCTCCCAGCTGAGTTGGATGTTCATGTTACTCAAGACGGCTTTGGTTGGGGCCTGCGGCAACGCCAGAACTCTGTTTGGACCCCCATTGGTTTCTGGTCTCAGGTTTGGCACGGAGCAGAAGAAAGATACAGTATGATTGAAAAACAGTTATTGGCTGCCTATTCGGCATTACAGGCAGTAGAGCCAATAACTCAAACAGCTGAAGTTATAGTCAAGACCACTCTGCCAATTCAGGGGTGGGTGAAAGATCTGACCCACCTTCCTAAGACAGGGTTGGCCCAAGCACAAATAGTGGCACTATGGGTCGCCTACCTCAGCCAAAGGACAAGTCTGTCTTCATCACCCTTGAAAGAAGAACTCCAGAAGATCCTAGGCCCAGTTACGTATCACAGTGATGCACCAAAAGAAATACTGGTCGCTCCACCAGAGAAGAGTCCCGTTCAGGAGGGAAAATATCCTATCCCTGAAGATGCCTGGTACAGAGATGGGTCCAGCAAGGGCAACTCGAGCAAGTGGAGAGCAATATCATACCATCCTTCTACCGAGACAATCTGGTTTGACAAGGGGGATGGTCAGAGCAGCCAATGGGCAGAACTGTAAGCTGTGTGGATGGTTATAACCAAGGAACCTGGTGATGGTATCCTGAACATCTGCACAGATTGTTGGGCTGTGTATGGGGGCTCACTCTTTGGATTGCACAGTGGGCCACCCAGGAATGGACTATCCACGCCTGACCGATCTGGGGCAAAGACATGTGGTTAGATATATGGAATATGGTCAAACACAGGACTGTACATGTCTACCATGTTTCTGGTCATCAGCCCCTACAGTCACCTGGAAATGATGAAGCTGACACACTGGCCCGAGTTCAATGGATTGAGAATTCACCGTCTGAGAACATCGCCCGCAGGTTACATCAGAAGCTACAGCATGCTGGACAAAAGACAATGTGGGCAGCTGCTAAAGCATGGAGACTGCCCATACAACCATCTGATATCGTCCAGGCATGCCAGGATTGCGATGCTTGCTCCAAGATGAGACTGAGATCGTTGCCCAAAACAACAGCCCATCTTGCTAGGGGACACAATCCTCTCCAGTGATGGCAGATCAATTACATCGGGGCCCTTCCTTGTTCCGAAGGAGCAAGATACGCCCTGACCTGTGTCGACACTGCAAGTGGGCTGCTGCAGGCCTATCCAGTACTGAAAGCAAACCAGGCATATACCATCAAGGCACTCACTAAACTGATGTCTGCCTACAGGACACCTCAAGTCATCGAGAGCGACCAAGGGACTCATTTTACTGGTGCAGTGATAAAGCGCTGGGCAGAAGAAAATAACATCGAATAGCGATTCCACCTGCTGTATAATCCAACAGGAGCAGGCCTCATTGAACGTTATAACGGTATTCCTTAAGGCTGCCCTGAAGACAGACTCCCAGTCCCTGCAGGGATGGATGAAAAGACTGTATGAAACCTTGGGGGACCTGAATGAAAGACCTCAAGGCGGCAGACCCAGTGCCCTGAGAATGTTGCAGATGACATGGGCCACCCCGCTTAGGATCCAAATTATGGGCACTGATCATCAAGTAAGACCCCACTTTGGTAACAAAAATAATCTTCTGCTCCCTACCCCTGAGAATTTAGATCTGGGTACCCATAAAATAAAATGGCCCTGGAAGGTGCAGGTAGGACCCAAGTGGTGTGGCCTACTTGCACCTTGGGGAAGACTATTGGAGGTGGGAGGCTCAGTAGTCCCTCCAGTTAGAGGTACATGGCCTACTGATATTGTGGTCAACACTCCGATCTTTATCGCTAAAGGGATCCCCATTGTGTCCCTGTGGCAGATCAGGACACCTTTTTTGGTGCCTGATATCATTAGGCAGCTATAGACATCCGGCCAGAAGGTGTGGTACAGGCGGCCAGGATGTGCCCCAGTACAGGTGGAAGTGTTGACCCAGGATAGAAATACGGCCTGTATCTTGCCCTGGAGAGCAGACCTTCCCCCTCCTAGTACCTCTGAAACATCTGTATTACTGCCTGTGAGTCTGTGAGCCTTCAGGACCACCAGAAGGAACAAAATGCCATCAAGCGTTCCAGTGTTGCTGTCAGATCACGTACAACACCCGGTGATGGTCTGCATGGGACTGATGGGACATAGAACGGACCTGCACCTCAGGACCTCATGTCTCCAGTCACATCATCGAGCACTGGCCCATAGAAGAATATGGACATCCACTGATCATCACTCGTCTTGAATTGTACCAACACATGTTGCGATAAAACTGTATAAGCGTCGCGATATACCGGATCTCTGTATTAGAGAAAGCTTACCCTTTAGTTAACCTGATCATTGGTTCATGCTGTGAAGGGGTGGAGTGTATGGGAACTGCTGAGTCATGGCCTGAACCTCTGATCACCTGAGGCGAGCCATGAGTCAGCCAGAAGAGCACAGGTGAAGGCAATTCACCTGTGCTGCTGGAAGGGGTGGAGCCTGGCTCCACCCCTCCTAGACCTATTTAAGAGCTGGCTACCAGAGGGGAAGGGTCTCTTCTGGAGATCCCTCTTTCTGGTGTTTTGTGGGTGAGCCCAGCATAAGGGTAAGCCTTCCATTTATTCTCTTTCATTATCATAGTCTGCTTTGCCTAACTCTTGTTTATTTTGTGATTGTAATATCTTAATATCCATTGATTACACAGTATGCATTTTCTGATGAATAAAAAGAGTGGCAGTTTTAAATTGTGCATTTATTCTACAATTACCAAGACCTATAACAGCCAAAAGTAACTCATGTTCTCTCTTGACACAGTCAGGGGCCTGTGGATTACAAGGATGTTGTTTACATTTTCAGTTTAACCTGCAAGTAGAGTCCAGTGTCCTGACTAGAAGCTCTATATTTGAGGGAAAAGAACATTAAACACAAAGAAGAAGGAACAGGTCTTTAGCAGGTTGCTCCTTTCTTTTATTTATTTATTTATTTATTTATTTTTACAGTTCTTTGCCTTTAAACATGTTTTACAACTTTTATGGGTGCTAAGCTATCTAATAAGCCCTAGTAAATATAAGAGACACCTGCAAAATCTAGGCTTTTGCTAGTCATTTAAATTTCTTTCTCTGCAGACCTACACATTCCCATGCTGCTAGTACAAGAAATTACAAGGAAAGACATTAGAAATCAATGTGGAGGTTGCTACAGATCTACTGCAGTGACCAGGAAGATCTCCAGCACCAGACAGATGGGCAGCAATGCAGAGTAGGCTACACATTCCCTTGAAGAGGCACTGTCTTTTTATGTCTGCACCATCAAAGGTGGGCATTACTGTAGCACGTATAGTAATAATAATCCTGCAGTTTGTATCTTGTGGCTTTATTGCAGAATAATGAATGTTCATCAGGCATTTTCCAGTGTAGACAGAAGGCCACACCTGCTTACTAAAGCTATATTAGGGGATAATAATGCTGGGCAGAGATACTGGGGAAAAAAAAAAAGAAAAAGAGTATGGGAGAGCACTAAAATATCTTTCTATCTTTGCACATGCTCTTTATGACGTCAGAGCAACTTAAATTCATGGTAAACTGTAAAGAACCACTTAGAAGTCAAAATAATAGCTCTATATGGACAAAGATTTTCTAGCATTTTTGGTGGCTACTTTTATACTTGGCTAGTTTTGTTGTTCTATACTTCAGCACAGACACTGATAATTTCGCTATCTGTATAGTGCAGTGAGCAACTGAGAGTCAGGACTGCTTGTTGACATTTAGGTGAAACCTGACTGACTGAGTTTCAATGTGAACTTAGATGAGATCAATTAATTAAATAATCTTGAAAATTGCTGGCTGTTGTAGAGCATTATGTACTTCACTTAGCAGTGCTTACAGATCTGCTTCTAAAAAGCGGGATGATGTTCACGTGGTCCATCATTCTCAGATAGCTGGATGTTCCTTGTTCTGTCTCAGACTTCATGTGTTATCTTACACAAATCTGTTCCACTTTTTTCAGTTAATTTCACAAGAGGGGATAACACTGCAAAACTACCATGTTAGTTGATGAGGCACAAGCACCAGTAAAGATAAGAGCAGTCAGATAAACCTAGGAGATAAGAGACCTTCAATCAAATCCAAGGTATTTCAAGTCAGACACCTATGTATGCCAAGTTACACAACTCCAACGTTTACAAATCTTGCAGGAGCCATGAGGAAATAACATAAAGTGAAAATTATAATAGATTCCACCTTCTTACAGAGGAGCAAATGTGACATGTTTGCTTTGATGAGGAGTTATCAAGAAAAGGAAATAAACCTTCCATTTCCTCCCACTGCTTAGTTAAATGTAAATTTAAAAAGCAACTTAAAAAAACAACCAGAGGAAACTCAGGTGTACAGCATTTCACACTCTACTGCCCATTGCCACTTCAGGTGTATTTTAACTGCTATCTTGTCATTTATGTAAGAAAACTGTCTTTTGTAAGCAAGGTAATTTCTTTCACAAGATTACACCTCTTCCCCTGCACTAGAACCTGAACTACACTTGACGTGTTTTCTCACAATCATGTTTTATGAGTGGGCTTACACTGAGAAACTAACTGTGACCAGTGTGCACCCCAAAGCAACTGTAGCTGGCCATATCATACTACAGCTCCAGGAGCACACTCTAGGGATGTGAGATGGGGAAGCCTTCACTAGGGGAACCTCTCTCTTCATTGCGGACGCCTGAGGCAACTTCAAAGCTTATAAGACCACAGGGACGAGGCGTACCTGGACTTGACATCTCATCACTGCAGCAGCTAAGCCGTTAGGTGGGTGGATGGCGAAAGCGCAGCTCCGTGAAGCGCGAAGTCAAAATCAGCATCAGCCTCATTGCTCCTAGCACAGACAGCAACAGTCCTCAGATGCCCCCTGGTGATTTCCAGCTGCACTGCAACTCTTTCATCTTAACCTATGAAGAGTATTTTTAGGGAAGGAGAGGAATCGCAAAGAAAGAGTTTGCATGGCTATGTTGCACTTTGTGTCCCACTGGGAAGTGGGGAGCACTCGCTTCTCCCTCGGTAGACACAGTCCCGAAGATAAAACACACAGGTACAGCTTTACATTTGAGGCTTCAAAGCATATCAGAAACATTCTTGCTGGGATCATTCCAATCCACAATAAAGTCTCTTAACCCCTAAACCATTTAAGACGTATTACACTTTATGAAATATTTGAGTAGAAATATCCTACAACTAAAAGTATCAAGGAGTGCAAGCACTGACTAAATCAGCATTCTTAAGTACTATGCTCAGAGACAACCTGAAAATATTCAGTGCCCTCTTGTGGCTTACGTTAAGAAAGAAGAAAAAATCATAAAAGGAACTACTGAAGTTTGAACAGTCTCACAGCTGAGGTGGCACATCCATCACATCTTCCACAACACTGGTGCCACAAACATGACCCTGGAGAAAGGCCTGTTGAAAGACCCAGAGCATGTGAGGAGAGACTGAGAGCTGGGACTGTTCAGCCAATGGAAGAGGAGGCTGAGGGGTCCCAGCTAAGTCTATCTGCTGGGATAGAGCCAGGCTCTTTGTAGTGGTGCCTACTGCCAGACTAAGAGGCAATGGGCACAACCTGGAACACAGGGTGTTCCCTCAGAGCATCAGGAGCACTTCACAGAATTACAGAACTGTAGGGGTTGGAAGGGACCTCCAGAGATCATCGAGTCCAACCCCCTGCCAAAGCAGGTTCCCTACAGCAGGTCGCACAGGTAGGCATCCAGGCAGGTCTTGAACGTCTCCAGAGAAGGAGACTCCACCACCTCCCTGGGCAGCCTGTTCCAGTGCTCCGTCACCTCACTGTAAAGAAGTTCTTGCGCACATTTGTGCAGAACTTCCTATGCTGCAGTTTCCAGCCATTTCCCCTTGTCCCGTCTCCACTCACCACTGAAAACAGTCTGGCCTCGCCATTCTGCCCCCCACACCTTAGATATTTATAGACCTGGATCAGGTCCCCTCTCAGTCTTCTTTTCTCAAGGCTGAACAGACCCAGTTCACTCTGCCTTTCTTCATAGGAGAGATGCTCCAGGCCCTTCACCATCTTCGTGGCCCTCCGCTGGACTCTTTCCAAGAGATCCTTGTCTTTTTTGTACTGGGGAGCCCAGAACTGGACGCAGTACTCCAGATGAGGCCTTACCAGGGCAGAGTAGAGGGGGAGGATCACCTCCCTCGACCTGCTGGCCACACTCTTTCTAATGCATCCCAGAACGCCACTGACCCTCTTGGCCACAAGGGCACACTGCTGGTTCAGGGCCAACCTGTCATCCACCAGGACACCCAGGTTCCTCTCCGCAGAGCTCCCCTCCAGCAGCTCATCCCCCAACCTGTACTGGTGCATGCAATTATTCCTCCCCAGATGCAAGACTCTACACTTGCTTTTGTTAAACCTCATCTGTTTTTTTTCTGTCCAGCTCTCCAGCCTGTCCAGATCTCACTGAATGGCAGCACAGCCTTCAGGTGTGTCAGCCAATCCTCCCAACTTCGTATCATCAGCAAACTTGCTGAGGGTGGCCATTATCCCCTCATCAAGGTCATTGATGAAGATGTTGAACAAGACTGGACCCAGCACTGCCCCCCGAGGAACACCGCTGGTTACAGGCCTCCAACCGGACTCTGCACCGCCAACGACGACCCTCTGCGCTCTGCCAGTCAGCCAGTTTGCAACCCACCTCACTGTCCACTCATCTATCCCACATTTCCATTAGTGTATAGACACTTCAGGGAAGCAGCATTCCCCTGCCACACTCCATCCCTTCAAACTCCACCCTCATCAACAATCAAGTTCTCTTTTGAACCTGGAACTACCTGCACAACCTCAGCAGCCCTCATTTTGTTCCCTTCCCCCTTCTTACCTAGTTTAAAGACCTTCTGAGCTGTGCAGGTGATGGAGCGCTGGCACAGGCTGCCCAGAGGCTGTGTGTGGGCTCTGCTCCTCAGAGACCTTCAGCAGCTGCCTGGATGTGGGCCTGGGCTCCTGCTCCGGTGTCCCTGATGGAGCAGGGGCTGAGCCCAGAGGACCCTGCCAGCCTCAGCCATTCTGAGGAAAAAGCCACTGGTTTCTTTTTGCCTTTGATGCACACTTGCAGAAACAGAACACTCAGAACAAGGTTTTTTGCAAAACACATGCCTGTCACTGCTAATGGGCTGGTCTTTATGAAATGTGTTCGTTTTTAAGCAAAATCCTAACATACACAACCCAAAAGGATATCCTCCCAAGAAAAACACACACACACACAAATACTTTCAGTTTGAAGAGGTGAAAGGAGATGATAGAAAACAACTCTGAATATGAAATCTGACTGGTAAGACATCTTAAGAAATAAAAACTCCCCCAGTCCTGGAAACAGACCTTAGCAGGCTAACCCTGAAAGTTGTTGATGCTAAATTTCTTAGTTATTCTATTTACTCCTAAGGTCCACATCAGCTCCAAGATACTGAGGGCACAGCCAGAGGAGCTTCTGAAGTATACAGAATAGGAGACAATATTTACAAGTTAAGAAATAAAATCCTATCTGTGTAATTGCTGAATAAAAAACAGAAAGGACAATGGGAAGAATACTTAGATAGGGAAATCTTATGAGAGTTGCTGCAAGGAAGGATATGTAGAGGGAAAAAAAGAGACAGAGAGAAATCCAAAAATAAAGAAAGAGAATATAAAGTAATAGTGAAAACAGTTTTCTCAGACTAAGCATTCCCATAGGCTAAAGCAAGTGCATAAGAACAGCACTGTATTACTAAGCCCTGGAAAACGGCCTGCAGCTCTACAGAACTGAAAAATTCATCTTAAACATACAGAGAAGATTTCAAGATGTAAAGTGGGATTAGATGCTTTCTATTGAATGCATTTGGCAGTGATTATATTCTATTTTAGCTCTGATCTGACCATGAAGACAGAGATATATGATAATGAGGAAAAAATAAGTCTCACAGACAAAACAATGGAGGTTAAGGCTAGAAAATGAAAGGGAGAACGTTGGCCCTTCCCAAAGCAGACATAGAGTTTAAGCACCATAACAATCCAAACCAACTTTATGCATGAAGAAAAAAAAAAAAAGCAAAGTCAGGCTGGCAATTCACTGGAAAGTGGCAATCACAACACGCAGCAAAAGCCTTTTTATAGTAGTCGTCCTGAACTTTGTCTTCTACGTACATTCAAACGTGTATGTAACAGGACCTAGAAGAGACCTGATATCTAGATCTAGCTTCAACGCATTCTGTACTGAGAAGAAACTATGGAGTTTCTGTCATTAAATTGCTAGTTCCAACAATTCTAAAAGAACCTGGAAGGTGCTTCTCTGGGCACTCTGGGCACCTCTGGGTTCACCAGGCCCAACCGCTGCTCCAGCAGGGACACCCAGAGCACGGGGTCAGGAAAAAATCCCATGAACAACCTCTAGGCAATCTGTGCCAGTGCTCCATCACCCCTACAACACAGAGGTGCTGCCTGGTGCCCAGAGGGAGCCTCCACTGTTCCAGTTTGTGCCCAGTAAAACAAAAAAATACTGAAAATATACCCTAAAAATATGTTACATATATTTATAGTAGTTCTAACAAACTCATATGTTCAAGTCTCATTGGTCTGAAAAATAACATCAAGAATCCAAAAATGCTTCGCAATGTGGATACCTTCTAGGCCTGACTACTTGTCAGAAGATGACCCAGACAGAGAGATGTTTCTCTTCCTGGGAATGAAATCCTGTGTAAGGACTGGAGCAGGACAGAGGAATTCTACAGAGCTCACTTATTGTATTATGAATATGCAGCCAAGGAGAAATAAACACACTAAGTGCATTCTCTCTAAATAATGGG